GCGGGTGTAGCTCAGCTCTGGGGCTCGGGGTCTGACAGCGCCCTGCTCCAGCCCAAGCAGCCGAAACCAAGTGCTGCTTAACGAACCTCGTGCCATAACGTGCCCCCATCCTTTGCCAGCTCATCCCAGAGCTTTGCAGCCAGCGCGGTGGCGCTGCTGGAACCCAGCAGGCACGCTCTCGCCCTCCGCGTCTGGCCCACTGGCAGGTTCTGGCGTGGCTTTTCAGAGCCGACCAATCCCCCTTCCGCACCTCACGCCGCAGCCTCCCAGAGCTTGGGGCAAGATAAAAGCTTCCTGCCTCAGCTGCTGGCTCCTGCACTCCATCTCTGCGGCAGCGTGCTGCCAGCAGGGAGAACAAATGAGATTCTGCAGCGGTCCCACTCAAGTTTCCACTGATCGCAATGGGAATTCCGCCTGCAGAAGCCCAGCAGCAGCCAGCCTTTGAAACCGCATTTCAAACTTCTCCTTTCATCACCCCGACAGCAGTAATTGCAGCAGCTCGCTCCCCCTCCTTCCCCGACATCGGGGACAGAAAGCTCCTACAGATTTCAGGCAGCCAGATCCCGCACCCCGGCAGTGCCGGCTCCCAAATGCCCCTCGCAATTCCCAGGGCAGGGGACGAGCGGAACAGAGAAAGCAATTAGAGGAGCAGGAGATTGGCCCAGGGATCGCCCCCTCCAAGGATTACACCGACCGCTCATTTCCATCTTTTTAAGAATTCAGTTGCGTGGATTATCTTGGCTGGATGCTGACGGCTCTCTGCAGTATCAGCAATCCACCGTGCTCCGCGCTGAACTCGCACGGAGGAACAAAAGCTGCTTCTGAGCAACGCCGCCTAACCTACTTCCATTTTCCCTAACGGCTCCAACAGTAAACAAAGAGCATTATTCAGCCGAAAACAGAGTTGTTCTCTAATTAAATCCATCTTAGTCATTACGGAATGAAGTAAATGTAGCTGCTTTATAAAGAACTGCTTCATCTCGGCGATTTCCTCTTCACATTTCTGGACCCTAATTTGCAATTGAATTCAGGCGAGCAGACCCCCGGACCCACAGGCCGCCACAAACGATTTCAGGCAGCCTTTGCATTGGCTTTGACGTCTTTCTGCATAAATCCAAACACAAAAAAACACCCAGGGCTTTGTCTTGTATCTCAACGCTTAAAAGTATTAACAAAAAAAAAATCCTCTGCCGTAAGCCTCTTGGAGGAATGTTTTACAAGAAACGGCAGGTTCCATGGCACCGAGCAGGTGCTGCGCTCCTCCGGCCGCGGCGCTCGGTAGAGGCCCAGGCAGGACCTCCTGTGCACCATCCTGCATCTCCCCGGCTCAGACGGCTGCCAGAACACCCCACCCCGGCCCCCCCCAGCCACAGCTCTTCTCCAGGCCTCTCCCGGGGTTCTTGCACCGACTTCCCTGAGCTGCGGGCCGAGGGAAGCAGGCGACCTGGCAGTGTGTTTTCACCTGGGTGTGAGCGCTTTTCTCCCCGCTGAACCCTGAGAATCGCTGCTGGGCCTCGACCTCCATTTCCTGCTGTCTCGCAGCCCAGGCTCAGGGCTATTGCAGCCACTTTGGGTACCCAGACAGATGTGAATTCAATCCAAGTGCCAAGCTTACGATACCCAGCTGCCAATTCCAACAAGCCCGTACCTCCATGGGAACACGAGGAACGCCCTCAGAGTCTGCCAGCACCGTCACAGCGACAGCAGGACAGATTCTGACCTCCATTACAGAATCACAGAATCCCAGCATGGCCGGGGTTGGCAGGGAACTCTGTGGGTCACCCAGCCCAACCCCCTGCCCACGCAGGGTCACCCAGAGCAGGCTGCACAGCACCGCGGCCAGGCGGGTCTCGAATAGCTCCAGAGAAGGAGACTCCACAGCCTCCCTGGGCAGCCTGGGCCAGGGCTCTGTCACCCTCAGAGGGAAGAAGTTCTTCCTCGGGTTCAGCTG